CCTATATTTAAAATGTGTTCATTCCAATAGTTTGTTGTGTAGTACCATTCGTGTTTTCTCCCTTTTGAGTAGTATTCCTTTAAAAGTACATTGGCAGCCTCTTGTGAATATGCACAATGTTCGAACTCCACGGTAAATGAGAAAAAACAAAACTAGCACTCTCATTCTGGGGTCTAACTTATCCAACATAATTGTCAGCTGGGAACATAACAACACAATGGGCTGAATCTTATAGGGCCCTAAACAACATGGGCTATGGCAAGAAATCGTAAGAGGATTGCATGAGATATCCAGCCAGGCCTCTCTCAAAGTGAGGAGCAACTAGTTGTATTTTCCAACTATATGCCAGACCTCAAGATGGGATTCTTGCAAGGCAGCAGTGAGATCCCTGTTAATGGGGATATTACTTGTTATCAGCTTCACTAATTGCACCTCTCACATCATTAATACGTATCCGATTGCCCATGAATTCCTGACATGAAAGTCAGACTGGGCACTTAGCCTGCGTTTGCTTCTCTGGACTGCCATCTTGGACACATGGCAACAATATCTCAGGGCATGCTCCAGGGCACTTACTGACTTACCAGCCATTCACATACTCTGGCATCTGACACCTGCCAGCCTCTCAAGCCTCTCAGGGACCTCTCCAATCCACTTGCAGAATGCTTCTGCATTTTAAAACTGCACTTTGAGGTGCACTGGCAACTAGTTTTGAAATGCTGCTACAAGGACACTTTGCACACAGGGACAGACATCCAGCTCAGAAATATCAGCGGGCTGCTATCTTAGCAGTCACTACCTTGAGCCTACCTGGATACTCACAGCATCTTTGATTTGCTTTGCCTTGCCTTGCCTTTATGTGCTTTGCACCTCCAGCCAGAGCTACTAGATTCACAGTGCTTATGTCTTGCCTTGCCATTTAACACAGGCACAAAGCCAAGAAACACATCAGTAGTCCTCAGTCAAACCAAGGGATACTGCCGTTAGTCAGGGGTCCTGGCACAATAAGTCAAGGACAGCCTCTGATATCTGTCCAGAGCCTTGGGCATGGTGGGTCAATGACTTTGGGGGGATCAGGGTCAGAATCCTCTGCTCATAGTAGGTGACAAATCAAATGTCAGGCAGCCCACCTACCATTTTAGCTCTATGTGCCCTACTGTGGGCTGTTTTCTCCTGCAATGAGAGAAAGGGAGGGATTGAAACAGATAAAAGTACTTTGGGAGAAAGGTGATGAGCTTTTCTGAGCAAGTGAGTAGATCGTGCAGAGCCATGCAGAATTAGGAGGATAGGGTTTGGAACGGGTGAGATCGAGTGAGGGAAGATGTTACATGTAATAGTGACAGGGATAGAGCATGACCCTTGCTGGGAGTTGGGTGAATGAGTATGAGGTAATAGAGAAAATATGGTGCCATTTACCTTGGTCAAGCGGAGAAGATCATTGGTATTGTTCCATCACTGATGTGCATTCTTCCAGACAGCTGAGACCACAGTGGTACCCTCAAACCAAGCTGGCTGGTTCAGATAGCATGACCTCCTCTGCCAGTCCTGGGGCAATAGATTTCTCCGCAACACCTTGTCTACCATCAACTCCAGGTACTTGTCTGTAAAGCAGGGCTCCAAATTGCCCTTATCTGCCACATCTGTGCAAATGTGACAAACTGTGTAGGGCAACTCCAGGCTGACAATGTTTGTCCAAGTGCACAACAGCCTTTTAAAGATGGCACAGACACCAGGGATGCCAGTTTATTCCTGACTATCCCAGCAATGGCAAGTTCTTCCTGGTATGGCAAGTGATAGAATTGGGCTAGCATTGGGCTTGGGGTGCAGAGAAGGTTGTTAAGGAAGTGAGTTTTGGGCAGTAGCATAAGAAAACCTTGTAGGATTCAGGGAGAGAAACCCTTCATGAAATTCACTGTAATTGACACTTAGCCAAAAAGGTAAGATTCAGCCCAAAGTTTGATTTGATGTTTTGGCTGACTGATAGGTGGAATGGATGAGTGTCTGTCTACTTTGGTGGCTCAGAAGTTTCAACTATGCCTCATTTGTATCTGACTTGTGAGATGAGGACGATGAAGCAGCTCATTACATGTTTTCCTAATCTAGGATGACAGTGGCAGCTTGCAACTTGTCCTTTGCGTCAGCAGCAAGGCAGGGCCTCAGTATTTTTGTACATCTTTGCTTGTTCTGCTTCCACAAAAAATGCTAGTGTAATAAAATGTTTGTGGACATCTTTTAATTAACAGCACTGTACACATGGTGAAATATGAATTTTAACGTGTGTGTTAATGAAAATTGCAATTAATTTCCTAACTACTTATAAGAATTCTTATTTGTATGGACAAATGGTCTACCACCTATTTCATCCAATTAATATAAAATTCTTAAATTTGAATGCAGCACTTTGACCACATAAGAGCATATTGCTGTAGTTTTCTTTAATTAGCATATTGCTGTAGTTTTCTTTAATTAATCGTCCAAGGAAATGTTAATTGAATATATTAACTACCTATTCTCTACTCCATCTTAAATTTCATCATCATTATGATTCGTAATGTTCTCACTTCTTCCCTGCTTCTCCAAAAAAATCCTGGCAATGATGCATGCGCCATAAGACCATAAAAAATAGGAATAGGAATAGGCCATTTGACCTCTCAAGCGTGCTCTGACATTCAGTAGGATTATGACTGATTCCTCAAGTCCACTTTCTTGCCCTTTCCCTGTAACCCTTAATACCCCGACTGGTCAAGAATCTATCTACTTCAGTTTTAAGTATACGCAAGGGCACTTTTCCCCCACAGCTCCCCTTGGCAAGGGGTTTCAAAGACTCTGAACCTTCTGAAAGAAGAAATTCCTCCCCTTCTTTGGGACCCCTTAATTCTGAGACTATGGTCTCTGGTCCTAGACTCTCAAGCAATGGGAGTTGTTGGTTAAGGGTTCCTCATTAAAAAAAACATTGGGAAAATGAGTGGGAGGGTGGGGGTCCCACATGAAGCCATGCTCTTGCCCTTGTTGTCAATCCCAACCTTACTCTCCCTCCTTGCAAATCTCATCACATCCCACTCAGTTTCCGGAGCATCCATTGTCAATCTTCTGTGTAGGCGGCAGTGAAATACTAGCAGTGGCTACCACTCTTGGTAGTCCAGGTGTTGCTGTTACTGCAGGGCCTGCAGCTCTCATGGTAGGACTTCTACCCCACAGGGGCCTTAATTCAATCAGAGACTGACTAGGTAAGTGCCTGATTGCCTTAGGTCCCCAAAACTGGTTCTCCAAAACGGTGGATGGAACCCATGTCACTGCCACAAAGTTTGCCTGCTATTTGGTCCTGAAATACAAAATCAGATTATTGGGTCAGTCTTACATTGCTGTTTGTAAGACCTTGCTGCATGGAAGTTGCTTGCCATGTTTCCCTCATTCTGACAGTAATGACATCTCAAAAGTACTTCACTAACTATAAAGCAATCGGGGCATCATGTGGTTATGAAAGGTGCCATATAAATGCAAATGCATCTGTCTCTGTGGCCTCAGCACAAATATATGCGCAATATAAAATTGAAAGGAAATAAAAATTGCTTTAAAAATATTGTCATTTGGATCATATTAGTAATTTATTAGAAACACATATTGACTTTTTAAGTCTTTAAAATTACAGACAATGGGTAGCCCAATATCTTATTAGCTACCAGTCATTCTTTAAATGGTGGCTGATAATGAATTATGAAAGAATAATTTGCAAAATCCTGGGACTTTTATTAATTCATGAAAGGAAATTGGTCTAAAAGTGATGTTTAAATTGAGTTAAACCTTAATAAAGACTACAAGAGTTTCAGCAGTGTGCTTTGATATTGTAATCCCAGGCACAGATGCTAAATTTTGCTTACCTGAAACTCATTATTAATTAATTCTCTTTTAATATAGGTTGGATTTACTCATTTGGAAAAAGTAGAATTATCCCTATTGATGTCGATCTATAATGCAAGTGGTTTGAATTTCACCAACCAGAGAGTTTAATCTTGCAGTTTGTGCAAAGCTAATCAAATCTTCGATAACAGATGCAAAGATCCCAGTGTCAGTCCGCATGTTTGGATCTTTACTCTAATCAAATTACGTAGACGCTTGATAAGTCAACACTGATCATCATGCTGGTGGAAATTTAGATTACTCCGGTCCTCCCATTCCCATTGTTTTAATAACAACTGTGCTCTATGTTTTCACACATTAAAGCAGAAATTGTGATGATACCTGAATAATTAAAGAGTTGTCTATGGTGCTGTGTGAATCTGATCAATGTCACTGGCAAAGAAACGTGACCACAGCTGTGCTTTAAAAGTGCTCCCTGCTATGTTTTTGCTGTGTGCTGGAAAAACAATACTTACTCTGTTCACTTTACTCTTTTCTGACCTTGCTGCAGGCAGCAGTGTCACCAGCTGCACTGGTTAACGTGGTCACCTTTTAGATTTTTTTTAAAATGGCTTGACAGGGGATGAAACACATTTCATATAAACTTGAATTTCCCGCAGGTGTAACAGTCACTGTTTGTGTGCCTTGTACTGTTCGTTTAGTTAGCTTCCCAAGCAATTTGACTTACTCAGTTTGGCGTCTAAGACCTTCTGCTGGCTGCTTGATTCAGTACCCTGTCCCCTCCATCCATTTTCCTTCATTTCATTGACTTTTTCATGCAGTCATTTAAAGAAATAGATGAGAGGATTTTGTTTCTCCATTTCTTCCTGTCTGTCATGACCTTTGTTTTTTTTAAACTTCCTTGGGCTGGTTTCAGTAAATAGTCGTTGAGTGCCATGCCACCTGCTAAAGGTAGTTGAGAAATTAGCTTTTCCTGAAATTACCCTGACCAGTGACCTCTCCCAACCCACCCTAGGGTTTTGGAAGGCTGTTCCAGCTTTCTGTGTGGCCACGTTTACTGCTCAATTTCGATGCTGGCATTTAGCCTCTTAATTATTACTTGTCAATTTAACTCAATAAAGCCTCAAATAAGTAGAATTACCATTTTTTATTCAGATGCTTCCAGTGGATGCTGTGTTCTTTGTTGGACAAGATTGTTAGCAACTTTCACCACCATTTCTCTGATTTCTTTGTTCTGAAAGGAAAGACAAGAGGAAGAAAAATCTGTGAAATCTGCACCACATACCACACAAGCTTCAGTGTCAAAGGTCACTTCTGGAAGCTCAGGATTAGGAAGAGGTAAAATTATATTTTTATCCTTAAGCTTTGATTTCTTGAGTTAATGAAGATTTTTTTTTCATTGGGTCGGTGCCGCTAACAGGTGTTAGCCCTCAAGCATGGTCTCCAGGGCAGCCAGTCTATACAGCAACTTGAGGGTGATATAATTCATTGTAGCCTTGAACACATACAAATTGGTTGGGGAGACAACTCTTGAAGTTTTTTTTTCCCAAGGCCAGATGACATGGGAACTTGAAATCCATGTCAGAAATCAAAGGAAATTTCTAAACTGTCAAAATGTAAACTTATCAACAACCTCTTGACTTTTTTTTTAAAAAAAGAAGCTTTCGGTATCAGATTCCAATTCAGAGTCAGGTGGGAGGGTCCATGTCAGAAATTTGCAATACAAAGCAGAAATTGAGAGTGCATCAAAAAAATCAGATGTAATACAAACCAACCTTCATCTCTCTTGTCACATCTGCTCTGTCTAATTTAATTTTGAAACCAGAGATGGGAAAAAGAGACAAACAATATGTAGATGATAATATTTCATTTTTTAATCCTGTCAAGGAAATTAACAGCTGCACATTGGGTTAAGTGCTCACACCAAAGCTGATTTCTATGAAACATGATGTATGATACATTGAAAAGAATATTTCAAAACCAAGATTGGCACTGCCCTGTGTAATGGTTCACTTTCAACCTTCTCACCTGATTCTATTGGTGGGATTAGCACAGTGGCTTTGTCTGTGAAGGATAGCTCTTAAACAGGGGTGAAGATGTGAGGAATGCCAATAAACCAACAAAAATAGAGTGCCGTGGCATTAACTGCCTCATTATTTACAGATCTTAAGTCAATCTACTACTTTGACATAAGGTTAGCATTCAGTGCTTCAGCTAGTCTGACACTATCCCTTTCTGTTTACATTTTAACTGAAATGTCTGATTGGTGCTTTTACATCTCTTCTTTTCTATAGCCTGAATGGAAGATGCATTAAAGCATTTGTGTCATAGGTGATGTGGTTAAAAAATTGATTGGGGGATGGGAAGCACATAGCATTCACTCCCGTAGAAGTTGGATACAACAGGTTGCAAAGTCATTTGTATTTTATACACACGAGAGAAAGTAGTTGCAGAAATGAGTAGATGCCCAGAATGGTAAAGAGGCTTTTCTTCATCCCAGGATATAATGAAATAGGACACCAGTATAACTTGGAATCATTTTAATTCCCCCAAGTCTCAGGATTTTCCAGAAGAATGCAGTGGTTTAATGACTACACCTTTGCATAACAATATGAATAAACTGAAAGTATTGGGACAAAAGCAATGCTGATGAATGAAGTTATTAGATAAAATGTATGATCCTGGTGAAAAGCCTTCAGGCCTTATATTTCATTTCTGACTTCTGCTTCATAGAAAAGCATTGTAATAGATCCTAAAGCAATTCTGTCCATGAATTTTTAAGTATAGTGAGTTCAATGTGGTCAGAACAAAAGCACAAAAGATTGTTAAGCTTCTCTGGAAGAAAATATTGCATAGGTTTAGGATCTTGGTACAAAACTGCCTAGGGATGTATGTTAACCTTTGCATCACATTTCCAGTGCATCTCAGGATCTGTGTTGAATAAGTACCTAAACCACTCCTTGCATGAAAGTTTCCCCTAATTGGAGATGGTGAGAAGGGCAAATAATTAGGTGAGTTGACACTGTCGAGGTACTGCCCCCTTCTTGTAACCTCAGCAATAAAGTGCTGGCTGAGGAGGTACATTGGAAACTTTCTTGACTTGCCTTTCTTGACAGAGGAAGTGCAATTAAGGGCCTCAAATGGTAGATTAATAATCACTTAAGGGCCTCAACCTACCACCAGCCCAATTGCCTGGCTTCCCAGCAGGAGAGAAACAGCATAACCTGCCTGCTGGGCTGGGGTAGTCTTCCATTTACTGCAATCTAGGCAGGGATGATGCGGCCATGAGTGGGTGGCCACTGACGGCCATCCTGCTTCCTTGCCTCGACTCCCCTGACCACCCCCCGACCCCCCATTTAATGATCCTCACGCCATGAAAAAGAAGAGATAAAGACTTACCTCCCACCTGTTGGATCCCTTGTAGACTGGACTTCAACCAGTGGTTTTTAGGATGCAGAACCAGTCTCTGATAAGCCAGCAGCTTCTGGCAAGGCAAGATTTGATCGTCAAGACCAGACTTGACTGTCAAGACCCTGCAGTTAGCTGAGAAACTGACTAATCAGTCCTTAACAAGCTGATTGGAGCTTGATTCAGTGAGCTTTCTCAATAGTTGGGGACAGTGAGTCAGTTAACATTGATTTGTAGTCTAAGTGTGGAGGAGACGTTCAGAGAATCTCACTCCACAAGTATCAAATGCAAATCGGTTTATGCTGGACTATTCACACTGACTTCATGTTGAGCAACATCAACTATAATGACTTTGTTGACTCATCTATTGAAGTATTCAATGGAGGGAAATGAAATTTGCAATGAGTTGCTCAAACAGGGAAGGCTGCATAAATGAGTATTGAGACTTGCTCTGCACCATGGACTCTATATTATATATAAAACAGAGGAAGTGCAATCATCACAATCTCTGCTAAATTTATTGCAAACTTGCTTCAAATCATATAAAAATATATTGAAGGCTATTAAATTTTTGACATTGCAAGGAAGCAATTGACACAGTGGAAGTACAATTACTGCTCAGCAAATAGACGATCCCATATGTTTTAGAATGAAGGTGGAGAAAAGTCTGTGCCTAAATGACCTCATAGCTCAAGTTACGAGTTCTGCATATTATTAACTCCATAAATCTTTTCCTTATCCCATTTTGAGACAATTGGCATTCCGTTTGTGTCTTTTTATACTTATTATATATTTCATCTCTTTTTTTAAAAAAAAGCTTAATGTAGAAAACATTTGAAATAGTTACTTTTATAGACAAAGAATGACTGCAGTGTAATCTGATGGATTGGTCTGGGAACATTAGTGAAAACACTAAATTTATTGAATACAGTGTTGACTCCTTGTTAGAAGGCATAACACATAGAGGTATTGAGGGACATCCCTGTGAACATCTGAAATGAGTGGGAGAGATGGTTAAATATAATTCTTTCCTGAGCTGGGACTGCATTTTTCAGTCATCTGTTTTTGACTTGCATTTGTATAATCCATTCATATACTTCGGGATATTATTTTGGGGGAGTCTTCTGCAGCACAAAGCAGGTGTAGCTCACACTGGAAACCAGGTCAGTTGAGAAGGAATAGGATTAAGCAATATAATGTGGAACCTGCTAATTTAACCATACGTTTTTACATTCTGTTTTGCGGTTGAAAATGATGCCAGTTAGCAGTATTACCTCATTCATACCCCACTTTCAATGTGGGACCAGGAACATGGCATAGGAAAGTGTTAGTTAGCATATCCTGTTCAATTGCCATGCAATTAAATGTAAAAAAAAGTTGCTCACTAACTGCATTTTGTCAGCACACCTGTGGTACAATATAATCTATCCAGAATGTTACCAATGGAATATGATACTGAAAATATGTTCAAAGAAGTTTCAGTTGAAATATTGTCACTGTGTCAAAAAAGATTGGTCTGTAATGTTCAAGGCTGCTGGTGTTTGAAATTTGTTTTGTTCACCTTGTGGCATGGAATTCAAAGCATTGTCAGCAATACTGAAAGAATTGCACACATGGAAGAATATACAGACATAATATTATGCACAGTTACAGTTGCAACTTTAAATTTCTGGCTGAAGCATTGATGTTGTACTGCTGACATACTGGATGCACAGGTTGAAAATTCAGCCCACCCAAGTCCAAAAAAAATAGTGGCAGAATGTGGCATCAGCACAGATAGAAGACACTTCTTGACATTGTACTGTGCACAGCCAGGTTCCTGTAATATCAGCACTGTAACATAAAGGCAGAGTAAGTGTCCTGTTTAAAAGAAATATATAGAATGTGGAATGAAGGGAAGTCTAAGTTCTTTAAGATACTACCCTTTTATCTCTGGACTTTGGTCTAAATTAAACACAGAAGAATAGGATGAAAATCTCTTCTCATTACAAAAGTCCAAGCTCAAATTATTTTGAATGGCATAAACAGTTAATCGTGCATATGAATCTAAAACACTAAATTGTATCATCTGATAATAAATTAGCTTTCTTACTTTGACTAATGGGAGTTGAAAAAATATCTCTTTCCTGCCTGAGTTGATCAGGATAAAAGCCAGCCGGTGTTACAACCTAACCTAAAGTGCTAATCCTGGGATCAGAATAATGGAGAAAAAGTGTTTTATTCTTCAGTGGTATTATCCCTCACTTATGTAGACACAACAAATAAATTTGAAAGAATGAGAAATGTAAAGAAACTGCAAATTTAAAATCCATAAAAACATATTGCAATGTTTGCAAATTCACATTGATTAGTGTGGTTGTGCTTTGCTGAAATATCTTTTTCTAAAGTAGTCTCTACCAAGCACATTATTGATGCAGCACAGTTTATGGATGGACGCTTTGAGCTTGGTTAGATAGCGGAAATATGAGCTGTGATGATGATCAACAATAACAGAAATTTTATATTGGAATATTTCCTTTTTAAGTCACTCAATTACACAACGGTTTTAAATTCCTACTTCCAATATGTACATGACATTTTATTAATAGAATTCCTGCTCCTTTTAACAAAAGCATTTCATTATAATGTATTTTGTTTTGATAATTGATTTTCATTTCCAAAGCAATTTCTTTGCTAAGATTTTTTTTTGAAGAACTAGCTAGGGTAATATTAGTATCCATGATCAAAGATTGTATTAAAAATCCTTAAGATACCATTACTAATAATACAATAGCAATAATACAATGGTCAATGCCCTTTGCGTAGAGCTGATTGGGTGTTGTCTCATTGTATTATGAATGGACTCCTATGCCAATTGGCACATGACTTGCTGGGAGTTATTTCATCAAATATGCTCATGGCTCATTCAGATGCCAGAAATGATTTCAGCTATGACTTCAAGGGTGACCATTGTGCAGTGTAAAAATGTTTGATCCAAGATGCCTTTCTCCTTTATATTAGCCACCATTATTTATTACTACTATCTTTATTTGCTCTTCACCAGCCAAATCTCACATGGGAACTTAAAATCTCAGTAGCTGCAATTTGGTGAAGTGACACCAGTAAACAGGTATTCGGTAGCCCTTCTAATTCCATTGGTGCCTGACATCAATGACTTCCAAATACATCATCTGAATATTGTTTCCCCAATCAATCTGTTTAGAGATGTTATTACACACCTCTGGACCAGGTGAGATTTGAACCCAGGCCTCCTGGCTCAGGAGTAGAACAAAGAACAAAAAAAATTACAGCACAGGAACAGGCCCTTCAGCCCTCCAAGCCTGCACCAACATACTGCCTGTCACAACTAAAAACCCCTTCCCTTCTGGGGACCGTATCCCTCTATTCCCATCCTATTCATGTATTTGTCAAGACGCCCTTTAAAAGTCACTATCGTACCTGATTCCGCTACCTTCTCCGGCAGCGAGTTCCAGGCACCCACCACCCTCTGTGTAAAAAACCTTCCTCGTACATCACCTTTAAACCTTGCCCCTTGCACCTTAAACCTATGCCCCCTAGTAACTGACTAAGTTAGGAAACTACCACTATGCCACAAGAATCCTGTCAAGTATGTCACCTGAGTAAAATAAAATTATATAAATCTGGTGACTTCCTAACATCTGTTAAGGCCAGCTGATGGGTCACAGGGATAGGCAGTGGCTCTGGAGTAGCAGCTTTGCACAATTGACCCGACAGTATTTCAGAGGTATAAACTGTGATTTGGCTTATTGAAAATTATTTTAAAATGTAATGATATTTGATTTCCAAGCCAAGATTAAAAGCTGCGGTGACACAGACACCTGCAATAGATTACCGATCATTGTTCACTCAACAGGTAGCCACATAGTACTTAATGTCATCAGGTAGACTCCACTTATTCAAAGACTTAGAGCATAAACAATATGGCATCTAAGTTTCAGGCATTGTCTCATGAAAAATGCCCTTCATTTTTATTTGGGTATGAGCCAAGTACTGAAGAACCATTGATCTTTCCCTGCCTTTCTGACAATCATAGTGACAAGCTAAGTGGTTTATTTTGAAAATGGGGTGGTGCCAGTGGATTTTCCAATTCTTTTGCATCAAATAACCTCAAACAAAATCAAAATGTGAAGTAAATTGAATCTGTTTATCCATTGGAAAAGGCATTGCTAAAGTGACTAAAGGTGGGTTAAATGCCTGAAGCAACAGGCTTTCTTTATAAGCATTCTTGAGTACTTCCATAACCTGAGGAACCCCTGTTCACTCGGGATTGAGCAGTACTTTTACTTTGTTTTACACTTGTATCTAAATCCCTCTCTTGAAAAAAAACTCTGTGCTCATGTAATGTTGTAGAGAGCAGAGTGTAATATTATAAAATTGTAAAGTATTCCAGTATTGATGATTGGTTCATGTATCACAAGGTTAACATGAAGCAATCAGTGCATGTTATATGCTACTTCAAAAATATACCACAGAAACAAATAAAGGACTGGTATTTATTTAGAGTGATTTAGACTTGCTGGTGTTAAACCATACTAATAGATCTGCACCACTTTGGATGGGGAAAATTAAATGAGCAGTCAAATAATAATTACTCTTCAGGTTAAAAAACATAGCTGGTGGATTGTGTGGAATCATTTTAAACCCTGGTTTGCACCAACTGCAGCTTGTGAAAAGTGAGAGTGGTCTAAGACCACCTCCTCAAGATACCACTAGCCTAAATTCAATTTGGACAATTTCACACCCAGATTGCCCTGGGCAGCTTGGATCTCGACGAAGCCAAAAGCTGCTGTGCATCAATATAAGTTGGGCAACATATCTGGCTTATAGAATGCTTCACAAAAAGCTTCTCTGTGGCGTTTTCCATGCTCCAGCCGGTGCCTTGTGACAAGGCCAGGTAATGGCCTCAGCTTAGTTACTCGCTGACTTGAATTAGCAGGAAATAGTAACAAGCAGTTTCTCACACACCACACTTCTTCAGCCAATCACAATTTCCATCTTAGTCCAAGGGGATAATAAAAATAGACACTAACAGATGTACCATATGCTTTAAATCGTCATTTAATTAGGCAATAATAATGGAACGACAAACGGTACACAGATTGGGGTTTTACCACCCCAGGGATTGTTTTGGCATGAGGTGCAGCTGAGAGCTAAAACAATTGCTGACGTGGCAGAAGCCCAGATACACGTACCCCCTAGTTGTTTATTATTGTCATTTCATTGCTAGCTTTCTTTATCATGTGAAGAAACAAATGAATCAGTTCAAGCTGTAAATAATAGTCATAGTTTTGGTGAAAAAAAAACACAAGAGGAACCAATAAAATTCCAAATATGTACTCTCAATGAGTATTGACATTATAATGGCGAGCACCAGAGCAAAATTTTTAAGTTATCCAACTCAGACATTTCTTTGTAACTTCGTACTTGTGCTTGCAACTTAACTAGGAAAGGATATTTATTTGTTACAATTTGACAACAGAACAAAAATTGGCATTGCTATTTTGCTGGCAAAAAGAAGGAAAAATCAGTGTTTTCCCACTCTAGATTGCTGTTCAGTGATCTCTCTTGTAAAGTGTGAATGGAGTGTGGACAGGGTCAGATGTGGCTATGAGCCTCCCTCATATTCTCTTCGTCTTCACACCCCTAAAAAATAATTGGTTCAATGTCCTACCAATGTTCATGGCCAAAGTAACTGGCTGTTATGCTGGAACCCTAACCTAGCAAGAATCAGTAAATTGAGACCTTCTGTGCTGGAAAGTAATCTTTGAGAAGAGACATAGGACTTCTAGCTTGTTGTAGGTTGTGTTTGCAATCTCTGCATGATGAGGTTTTGCAATAGTATAGCTCGAGGTGTGCTGTACGGTGTGGAACCATGCTGCTTCCTTGCTACCAACAAAAGTGGAACATTTTTTATAAAATGTTACGGCCTACTCTTCACCCTGCATGAGAGAACACTCTGTTACTGCTGGCACATACTGTTACTTCATTTAAATCTTTGGAATCGCACCAACTCTCTGACCCAGTGACTTTAAAATGCTACAAGTCTGAGATAAACACATCCTTTGCATCCAGCATTCAAACAACACAAATGGAAGGAAGTATGTCAGACAACATATTTTCTTCACTTTCAATCATTTCAATGTACCCACCCATATCGGGCTTACTGAATGACATTAGCATAACATAGGATGGGGGAGGCAACAGGAAGCAAAATGGGATAGAAGGATGTAACAGACCTGTCAAATATTCATCTAGCTGCAAGGAGGAAATCCAGGCAAATATCTTCAGTGGAATAAAAGAGTAATCACAAAACGTTATTTCTTCTTATTTATAATGTTTGTTGTTTAGATATGTCACTTTAAATCAAGGGCTATTTCAGTCTGAAATGTTATTGAACTGGTATTATATAATCTTTAAAAAAACACTTCCATTCAGTTCAGTTTCTCATCACAAATGATAACAGACAAATGTTATGAGGGGATTATAGAGAATAACAGTGGGCAAATGGTTAGCAGATACCACCTAGTGGACACGTAGGAATATTATTCATTTGTTGCCTGGTACTGAAAGCAGCAAAGAAAGAGAGGAAGGTTCAGAATGGTGAAATGGATTACATGAAAAAAATGTCTTTATACAATTTTCTGACTGCATTGTGTTTCAATTATTCTTAGGTTCAAGTTCTTCAGTACTAAGTGGGTTGGAGAACTACATGGATGAATCTCCAGAAGAAATTTTCTCGGATACCTTTTCCGCAAATGAAATTGTACTAAACAAGTATTCAGCCATGATTTCTACCTCTTGCAACGGTGGAAATTCATATGTAGAGGTGAAGGAAGCCACAATGTGTTTGAGCTGTGCAGAAAAGGCAAGCATAAAGTCAATCAGAAGAAAATGGATTAAAGTCAGTATGCACTTTAAGTATGTCAGGGAAAAAAAAGTGTTTGTTTTAAAATAAGAAACATATGATTGGAGAAGGAATTTATCGAAAGGTTAAAAACACTGGGTGAGAGGTGAAGATCTCTGGCATTCTTTTAAAACCCAGCATCCAAGGCAGTATCGCGACATTGTTAGCTGGCACTCTAGGCTCACATGACACAAAGAATTGGCAACCCAAGACTCCCCATGTGATAAATTGGCAATCTTACCTGCAGCATAGGAGGAAGGAAGAAATTACAGATCAGTTCAATTTGAGATAATCTCTTCCGTTTCTTGTAATTGGCGCATAACCAGCATTCATAGGGTATCTGATGGTGCTATAGGGTGTGGAGTGGAGCTGTACAGACCAAAAAGTTCCAAGATTGTATGCTGAGTTAACCAATTTCATTAAGTTGTTTCCAGAGAAGGACAAGGAGCAATTGGGCTGTGCCGAAGCTTTTTAACATTATCTGGTGAACCCTGTTGGAAACAGGATTGTTTGGGCAACACAGTGAAGGTTATTCTTGTCCCAGATTCTATAGTCACATTGGCCATTCAAGAATCATGGTAGTGACTCACACTTGAAGAGTCCCTGCTTCATTGCAATACCAGAGAGCTATGGATACAAATCCAACATTGGTTCCGTGCCTTTTTTGGAAAAGATAATTTAAAGGTAGAAAATTAGAGGTAAATAAATATACTTTTGATGGTGATCTGGCAGTTCACCCAAAGTTCACATGAGACATAGAAGAAAAATTATAATAAGCTTAACAAAAAACCTGTTAAAACTTTCATTCTCAATCATTAGTTGAAACCTTTTGAGGAGAGTGGCCAATTATTCAGAACTGTGTCAATCTAAAATTGACAGTGGTTTAAAATGCTTACTGCTTCTGCAGGATATACTGCAAAGCTAAAAGAAGTGATTATTACTAGAAAAGTAGACGTTTAAGAATTTGACATGAACTCTATCATGCAAACTAATCCATTTATTTTGATGACAAAAATTATGGTGCTGACACAATCCAACAAGATTTGTGATGAATCTACTGAATAATTAGCAAAAACTAAATAGTGGTCAGAGGAAAAAAAAACAAAAAATCCACAGAAAAAGTTCACTGACTTTAGAGAAATTACCTAGAAGTTATGAACATTGAGAATGCTGATTTTAAAAGAAATTACCTTGGAAGAGCTTGTTTCTCTCATGAATGGTATTATCACTAACTTAATACTAGAAAAACAATGACCAAAAAGACACCCGTGAACTTTAAGGAGGCTGTGTGTTAGACCAGTCTAGAGGAATGTACAGGGTAAGTCCTTAAGTTGCTTGCTATCCTTGATTACCTGGTTAAAACACGTGAAATTGGTATTCTTGTTCAAAAGTACCTCTGTTCTCCCTGTAGGATTTTTCTTTGCTGACTGGTCTCTACTAGTGTTGTTTTTGTTGACAAATGCTTGTGTGGGCTGTTTTTAGGCATCATTTGCTCTGTATGGAAGCATGATGTTGTTTACGTGGCAATAAGCAAATTTTCCACGTTGGATTATTATAATGAGACTGTAAATAAAATGTGAATAAATGTCAGAAGAATAACACAATGGTTGCAGCCTACATCACAGTCCCAGTGGCAGATTATGATAGGGTGTCTCAATGGTGCAGCCATGTTAAAGTCTAAACAGCCCTGGCACCCAATAGTAGGATGTGGGCTTAGACTCTTGATTCGCAACACGCTGAATTCACAATCATGGCTTTGCTGCCATTGTTGTGGTGCGGGTGGGAAGCAATGTTCGTACTACATTTTGTCCACAGGAAGAGAGGAAAGAACAAAGTCAGATATCCATCCGGTTATTCTCATCCACTTTGAAACTTGTGGAAGATATCCTGACCACCCTTGTGGACAGGGTCAGTTGACACCACGGATTGGTGTCAGAATTAGAAAGCCCAATTCCTTTTTAAACAAGCTTTGGAGATTTTTAGTTCACAGAAACTAAAGGTGAGGTTGAATTCCATTTCATATTTGGAATTATCGGTTTGTCATTTTACAAGCTGTTATTGAAGTTGGATTTCTCCAATGTTTAAGGGTTATGCTTAATCAATGGAGAATGAATGGATCTCCACAGGGCAGGAGAAAGAGGAGAGGATTAAGAGAGAATCAATATCAGAGAACTGGAAATACACTATTCTGGATGGAGGAGTGCAGGAAAAGCTGATCTACATAAAGAGGGAATAATGTTAATGCTTTAAAAGAGCACCCAGTCAAGTTTGTGCTGCCTCTGGCTTTTTTTTCTGGAAAAATTGATGCATTATCAACCATGTATTTAATACCAACCTGTGCTTCTTTCACCATGGTGCAGTTGAGGGTTATTATTTTATGCTATGTTGTGGTTTTTACAAAAGGTTCATTAGACTATTTCTAATAGACAAATGCAGGCACTAATTGAAGATAGTTTACTATATTACTCTTAATGACTTGGAAAAAAAGATTTTCAATCAAAATAAAACTTAAGTTATTTAGAATGTGATGAGGAATATTTAACCACACCATAACCTAACTTTTCCATTCTTTTAAGAATATCAGGAACATCTTTGTTGTGCTTGTTGGTCAGATGGTGTGTTAATGTTTGTTAGAATTGACATGGGGTAATTATGATGAAGCTTCATTTGAGTACTTCAGCAAATTACAGTAGATTTTGCGCAACATTGTCACAACTTTTACCTCGCGTATATTGTGTTATTTCATCTTGTGGAGGAAGTGCTTAACAGAAAACACAAGGTTTAGTCAAACTGGGGAAGAAACTTTGCCAAAGCGGACATGTATTAATCAGTGTCACAGGTGCTTATAATAGTCCAGCTAATTACTTCATTACTTCCCTCCACTTTACAGACCAGCTTGTTCAGACTGAACAGTGTAAAGTTCCATTACCAGTGCTTACGGTGATGATTTTAACCATTCTGGGAAATCTCTACAGGCTAGAACAAGTACTCGCTTGTTTCTCCATTTCACTAGGGACTCCTATTTGTGCATTCAGTCGTGTTTAGTAAAATCATATCATAAACTAAATTGTTGATAAAGTGCATATTTTCTACCTTATATTGCCTTTTAAACACCTATAATATATGTTTTACCATTCATTCTTTAATACGCTTTATTTTATAGACGCTGATCTGTCCACATAAAATTGGTAACAACTGTGTGATTGCACTACCCAAGAATTGCACCCATATTAAAATCAGCAGACCCAAAGCTCACATCATTACCATGGAGGCTAAGCTGTAAGTAGTCCCCTGGGGCTTGTTGTCCTAATGAATGCCAGACCACAAATTAATGAAGTTGCTTTGGAAAAACATTGTGATTTTTAGTCACTGAAGCATCAGTAAATCTGCCAGAACCGGGACAGCTGTTTATAGCTTGTTATGATGTCAATTTGTTTACAAATTAGATTTTCCTTTTTGAAATTTGGTGTTTAGCTGCCACTTCATGTCAGTCATTATGAAATCAGGTTGCTTTCTGATGTATTGAAAGCTGGGAGGGGGCTCCTTGCCTGATGTCACCTGAGTCCTTAGACCCTTAGCATGGAATCACATATAATTTGTTTTCACTGACCCATGCTTCTCAGTGGCAAGAATCTGTGGTTATCCTAATTAGTTCATGTCAGCCATGAAAAGCATAAGCCCCATCTGTCTTGCTTCTCAATGATATCCTTTTGTTCTTTGAAAAGATCCTGGTATCTGTTCTTTAGCAGAACAGAGCCTCTAAGACCTTGACTCAAGAGGGGTGAAAACATATTGTTCCTTTGGAGTAAACAGCTTTGAGATACAGAAATAAGTCAGGCATAATAAAGAGATAATATGCCTAGGGCAACCCACAGCTCTGTTAGCTCAGTGGACTCATTTAGAGATTTGAGTTTAATTCCAGGGCTAGACTTGTAACTCTGACCTAGTCTAGGCCAACTTACCCAGGGAAGTCATGGATAACTGGCTTCAGGATTCTTTCAGCAAGTGTTGTCCCAGTGTAGAAACATTTATTACGTTATACCGTCTGGAACTTCTCGTTCCACTGAAAACAATAATGCATATAAAGAGGCTGACTCAGGTGAAAAATAATTACAAGAATTAAGTCTTAATTTATCAAAAAAGTCATGTGATGTTTTTGAATTAAATACATCTGTGAATGCCAATTTAATTTACTTAAAATATGTTTACAAATTTATTCACATGACTGGCTTGATATCAATTAGTGTGAATATTCAGATAATTGCAGTCATCAGATTGGGTTTGGAGTCCAAAATAGTAGTCCTTTCATTTTAAATGACTAGTTTGTTCTTGATTTATAAACTTATGACAATAATACTTAACCATTTTCCTCAGTATAGATGAAACATAGAGAAGATTATATGGAAATGTCACATCTGCTTGCAAGTTTGTAAAAGGGTCTAAGTTTAACACTGCATACCTTGGCTCAGATCTTTGTGTGGGCTCGTGTAGACCCAACCTGTATGCTTCCCTACCTTTCAACACGCCTACCTGACCCACATATGCCATTGCCCAGGGTTTTTAACCTTCTTGCAGTTTTCAGGTTTGCAGTGCATTTTAGGAGCTGTGAAGGTAGGAAACCTGGTCAGCATGGATGAGTTGGGACAAAGGTCCTGTTTCTGTGCTGTATGACTCTTAAAAATTGTGGATACGAAGAGGAGAAGGCCTATCTCAGTTCTAACACAAAAGCTCAGCTCCCTAAGCCTCCTAAAGGCCCCCTAAACTTCATCACTTCTCTCCCTGCGCACCCCCTCATGCCCTCTCAGATCCACCATGCCACTTTCATGATCCTCATGTATTCTCTGTTGCCACTTGCCCAACATCCACTATGTGGTGTACTCAAGAGTCATGCAATTGTGATGGGAATTATTTTTAATCATTACAGAAAAAAATCAGTGTAACAATCCCTGTGAAAACCAATTCAAACATACAATCATTGATACTGCAAACTGTGCAGTGGAACTTTTAACAATTGGCAATTAACTATAAAACATAACAACACGCTGGCCAATGTAAGGGGCAACTTACCTCCACAAGAGAGACCCCTATGATGAATCACTACATTAAACACAAATGTACATTTCAGGATCTAATCACGACATTTAAAGGAGCCAAAACATTTTACACTTTCCTTTCAAAATGTTCCAGGCTCATCTGCGGGCTTTCCCCAGTTGTCACAAATTTTATAAGGACTATTTTTTTTAGGAATTCAAAGAAGCTGCATCGTCACCATGAAAATGGTACATGGGAGGACATACATTTTTCCTGTGGTCCTCACAGTGTGGGTCTGATCTCAGAAGGTGTGCTTAAGATTTTTTTCACCAGGCCCTCCGACTTGTGAGAAAACCACACAAACTTGGAACTCAGCAGTGGAAAATTATTTTTCCTCTGACAAAAAAACTAAGTGCAGCAATTTGCAATCTGACTCCCACCTCAATTTGGTATTAAAAATTCAAGCTCCTCTCTTTACCATGAGGGATCAGAGACTTGTGAAATGAAGTTCTGTCCGAGCTTCTACTGTCCGAGGACAGGATCAGGTTTAGTTGTGATAACTGCAATGGCATTACAGCCTCCTGGCATTCACTGCCCTGACCCACAAATAAAGACTTGAAAAGACATTAGAGATCTTACACTAACCATTGAACCATATTTCAGAAAAAAAAACATTAAAGGAGATAAAATGAGAAGAAAATTTGTTTGACGATGGGGGAGGAGGGGGCTAGATGTAAAGGGTTTGAAGACGAAAGCGAAAGCGTTTTCTGTCATGTGCAACTAAAACTGATTATTATGATCAGATAAGATTGAAGAAATGTTTTTGAAGAAGCCCACGGATATAAGGCAGTGTGAAGAAATCAAAGAAAGGGATTTCAAATTCTAATCAGAAACACATGTAGACAACTTTTATAAAAAAGGTGATTGCAATAAAGTACTTAAAATTTAGAACGTGGTAGCTGCTGAAGTTTTTATAAATTGAGAACTCCAGTGTTGTTTGTGTTAGAGACTCTGACCTGGCATACTTGATTCAATGGACAATCTTTGACAAGATATTTCATTTAAAGAAATGTGTTGGAAGATGTATCATAAAAATAAAGGAAACTACTTCCTTGGCTAATAAATAATTCTTGTGATTTGGAATAAAATCTTATGCGTGTTTGAAACTTAAAAACTCACAGTCCTTCTGTCTTGACTTGCCTTTTAGTGCAGAAGAAATACAAAGGCAGGCAGCTTATCATGTTTGTCAGCAGTGATTGTTCAAGGGGATGGATATGTTACTGTCGCATGTGACAGCAGTTTTCATGGCAAATGCACCGTATGTATTCAGCCAAATGGCCATATCTCCATGTTGAAGGGAGCAGTCCTTAGTCAAGTCAAGGGAGACTGCCATTAATCAGAGGGTGGTGCCACAATTACTCAAGGGCAGCATTCCATCCCAGTCCAGGGGCTTGGACATGCTCGGACAGCTGCTCGGCGAATCAGGGTTTCAATACCATTACAGAGTGGGGAGTGGGCATGGTCAGTCTTCTAAGTCCAGTGTGACCAATCAAGGGATTAACGATAAGTCAGTCAAGGAGCTGCACAGATATCAGGAAGGGGTCTGGTCACTCATCAGTCAGGGCTTTCCTTCTGATACAGTGAGTGGCTGGGCTATGGTCAGTCCTGGGAGTCTGCTCACCAAAAATCAAGGAAGATCATCAGGAGCCAACACTGTGGTAGAGATGTTAGTTTTGAGGTTTGGAGGCCTCATACGGAGATGCAAAGAAGAAAATAATTGTGAAGGGGCACTCAGCAGAAAAGCGTGGGAGATAATAGTGCATTGGAGGATATGGTGAGGGGAGTAATTGACAGTTACCACTACTTTGGCTTCGACAGGGGCAGGGGCAATGCATCGTAATATTTGGCATGGCTAAGCTATAGTGCCAGCACTTCGTAGGTAATGTTGGGAGATGAAGGTATAATTTGGTATATTGGATGGGGATGTGTAGAAGCTCAGAGCTGATGGGGTTGACGCAATATACAAGGAAGAGAGGATCATGAAGGCTTTGGAGGATCACATAGGTTAGTATGCTGAGCCTGTGACTCACACTACAACACATGACCTGTGTGCCTTCTACCCTCATCTGAATGCTAAATGCGCAACGTAAATGAAAACGGCTGCAATCACATCTTTAGTAGTTGGTATATTTTTTTTTTCTATGCCTGAGCATGCAGGTTCTACTTGAGAGTGTTGTCAGGCCTTTCAATGGATAATTGCATTAATAAAGCACTTACACAGTACAGGTTGCCAAGATGTGGTGGTGCTGGTGTTGGACCAGGGTGGACAAGATCTGAAATCACACGACACCAGGTTATAGTTCAACAGGTTTATTTGAAAACACAAGGTTTTGGAGCCTCAGTCCTTCTTCAGATGTTAGTGAGAGAGGTAGTATCAGAATTTATAAAAGTGAAATGTCAAAATGTCATGCCACTGACAAGGATGTATTGAACAAACCTGTTGTTAAATCTTTAATCAGTTAGAAGGTTTTAATTGATTAATATGTATATGTAAATCTCCAAATTCCTTTCAAGCTACTGTCCTGAGAGAACGAAGGGTTTTATCAATGTAAAAAAGAGGTGACATTTTAGGTCAGACAATGCATGTTAGTACAAATTGAAGAGATCTTTAATTACAGTGCATACCCTGCATTGGAAATAAGTACTGTCTAAGTGTGTGGAATACAAATCCTGGCCACAAGCAACCTCGACCATGTCATTAGTTGTTACAGATTGATCACCGTCATCTCTGTGAAGTAATCATAGGCAACCATAAAGCTGTCACACAAATCACAAAGTTCAAGCCAAGGTCTCATAGGCTGCTCAAAGGCGAGGAGCTGATTTCCGCTCAATCTTGGACGGCATATATTTGTGGACATACTATTTGTATGCAGTGCTGCCTTCCTTGGGTGAGGGCTGGTATTGGTAGAGGATATCAGTTATTGGTCTGTACTTACAATCTTCAATTGTATTTGCATGGTATGGCTGTGCTGCATACATCAATAAGGTTCATTATGTGAAAAGGTTCAATTTGAGGCACTCTTTGGCTCCTCTTGTCAATTTCCCCAATGCCCCACTGCATGGAGAACTATGCTAAACTATCATTTATGAGTGATGTGAAGGGTTTTATTAGTAAGTTCATCTATCTGATGTGACTTGCCCCCAGTTTTTAAAATTACCTCAGTTAATTGTTCGCTCTTTTTGTTTTTGACACAGTCATTTGTGCACCACCTGAAGAATCAGACAGGGAAACAAGTATCAATGCCACTGTCTAACTCTCTCCCTACTTCATGCAATCAATGTCACACATCATGCATAGTCACCTGGAATATCCCAGGGCTACTTTTGACTGAGTCACATGTTCTATGAGAACGTGTAGAGAATCAAGATTGTGAATTCTAGCTGTGCCACTTGTGACAAATGCAGTGACGCTCAAAGGAAATAGCAGAAAATTTCCTCTGAAGCCAGTTGCAAGCAAGTGTACAGTGACAGTAACAGTATGTGAGCACACTAAAAGTACAAAGTGCTTACTTATAGCAATGCACCGATCAATCAAGTAAAAAGCAATGATCTTCTGTCATAGATGTGACCGGAGTTAAATTTTGTTCTTCCATCTCATAAGCACACCAGTGGCTTATTTGTTTTCGTCTTTCAAGTTTAACAGAATTTCTATTTGAAAAAGAGTGGGGTAACATTGGTTTCCAGAACAGTGAAGCAAGCAAAATAGTATAGACTAGTTTACTGTTCAATGATGACTAATGTGCAGTTGAAAAGAGGAAAAACAGACAACCCAGAGGTGCAGATACATTAAGTAAGGGCAGACCAAAAAGTCAGTTCATGTTGTTAGCCTGAAATTCATGTAGACCCAGACTGTATTTGAACTTACAAGAACAGGGTCATGTAAATGCATAGCATAGGTATATTTCTCCACTATGTCACAATAAAGTCTTCATTGTAAACTCAGAAAGGGCATTCTGACTATTGAATCTTCACCCTATATTGACTGCAGCCTAACTGATCCTCTATGTTGCTATTCATTGGTGCTTTACTCTGCTTCTTCCTCGTCAGTATAATCACCTTATGAGTTTGCATCTGATTTTTAAGTGAATGATGCACTTAAAATGCTATCTGTTGACCAAAAGATTCGTTTTTCTTTCTTTGCGGAGACCAGATGAGACATTCTGAGGCAGTAGAATTTATACAGGGGTCTCCTCATATCCTGCTGTAACTTTGGGACAGCTTTGATGGAATTTCAGGGAAACAATTAAATCACCATTTTACAATTTATCCGACTTTACTATGTTTTTATTAATTCTGTACCAAATTTGACTTAGCAGATTGGCAGAACACTTGCGGAAATTCTGTGGTATGAATCGTAAGTATATTTGTCTCAGCTTGCATGGTATTGTCATTGCGGACTTGTTCACTGTGTATGGAAATTTTGTTGTAAAATATTCTTCAAAGTGAACAATATTTGATGAATGACACAGATACACAGACAAAACTAATTGTTTTTGACTCCTCCATTCCCACACTTTCAAATCCTTTCCAGCACTCCCTTCTCATTGAAAAATGATCTACTCCTAACAAATATTTGATCATATTGTTCACCAGTATGATGTACTTCCTGTTTTGCTTCCTGCAGTACATTCGCTTCCCTAGAACCTTACCAGTTTTTCATTTTTCTTGTCAGCAGCTTTCTCAACCAGTGCCCTCCTGACAGAGTGACTGTTTGCTTGGGGTACGAGCCTATGGTTCTGGGTGTCCCATATCATTTGCACTGGGGACCTTGGTCGTGAATGCTGGCAGGCTGTTTAACTGCTGGGGCCATCACCATTGTGCCTTCACCTGAAGTCCACACATGCACTTCTAGCAAAGTTTCCTGCAGAGCCATTGAGTGTGGAAATATGGCTTTTTTTTTTCTTCCATGTCCATGGGGACTGAGGCCGTTATACCTGACCTACAACCAGGGTTCTACTTATTAAATTGCCATCTTACTTTCTACCTTCTTGTCAAGATATCTTTGTGTTCGCACAAATCCCTAGCACATACTACATATCCTGCACTGTTTTACAATAACATTCCTGCTATACCTTCATGCTTCTTTTTAAATTGATTTCTTCCAGATCTCTTTGAAATCTATTTCTTATGAAGGTGTTCATTGCAGAATCATGCATTTTTAGCAAGTATACGTTACATTGAAAAATAAGCATTACTCACATTTCCTTGTAAAATAGTATGTTTAGTCCATTGCATACAAGTAGAGCTGACATCTCCATGCAAAAAAGGAAAATATGATTTTGCCAATGGCCTTGAAGCACTGAAGAAAAAATGTACAAAAACAATGAGAATATTTTGTTGCAGCTAAGCAAAACAGAATCAGCCTTTAAGCATAATCTATTTGTCTTATATCCTTTTATAGCCAATCAAAAGTTTAAAACAAATCCATCAAATAAGATGACATTTGCATTGTAAAAATGAAACATTATTTTTACAGCTTTGGGAAAAGTACATTCTAGTGATCAAACAGACTCTGACACTGATGATCCATTGAGGCCACCCAAATAATTAGCATTGTGTGTTTGAACATTTTGAAACATTATACAATAGGCCTGTCTGAAAATGTTGTTGATCAAACACTGCCGAACACAATTGCTTAAAGTTATGCTTACTTCAAGTAGTATTTTAAGCAGTTGTACAGACTTTCCGAATGGTGAACAGTGTGCAAGCAAATAAATGAGTGTTCCATGCGAACAGGGCAGTGCCTCCTCCCAACCACCCTGCTATGGCAAATGCTTTTCTTCACAAATTGGTGGATGATTTGCACATGATGGCTCTTGTTAGAATGCTTTATTACTTCCAGTTTAAAAACAGTAATTAGAGTCACCATTGTTCTGTGAAAGGTATCATTTTTAGCTGTAGGTTTGACTGAGATGTCAAAATTGCTATTTGTTTTTTTTAAGTTGCACTTAGAACCTTTTGGCTACTGATCTACTAGCTGATGCTTTTTCCTGCCAGTGAATGTATTTTTTATTGTCAGCTTTCACCATACAAGTCAAAAAAAACCCTTTGCATACAATAGAGAATTAATCGTCTGATTTCAGAACAGGTCAAGTGTGAGACTTACTTGTAGGTAGCAGGTGAACAGTTCTCATCCAATGTTCACGCAATAAGTCAAAAGCAAGGTGCGCACTAGAGCAGGAAACAATTTCACCATGTTTGATATTTAGCCTTAAGGCATACAACTTGTTCAGGAGGTGCTTTGTGGGAAAGAAAGAGTTAATTAAATTACCATATGCTTAATTTTGAATCCTGTCGTAGGCCTGTCAGGTAATAGGCAACATGCCTGAACTTGAGGCAGGAAATCAACTGTGCATTAGCTGTGTTTTGTGAGGAGGCATATTACAATGTGCAATTGAGTTGGCAACTCTTTAGAGAATACAGAGTTAGCTCCTACAGGTTTTGAAGCTCCATTTGATAGCATGGTGTCTGGATGGGTGAGATATTCTAGTGCTGTATAATAAGTGAAAAATTATTGTATGATATTAATGTGACATTAATTGATAGTTTGATTGACATAGAAAACACTAATGGATTTTGATTATGTGATAGAATCGTGAACATCTGAAAAAAGTAGCTTGATTTTTTTTCTGATTGTTTGTTTAAATTCTAAAACCTAACACCATTTGACTGGTTTAAGTTAACTTTTCATCCCCTTCTTCCTCCCATAACTAAAGGCCAAGGGCAAGAGAGCATGTAACTGTCACAGCCTATGACACAGTAACTGCCACCGTGCCTGAACCGTGTGCCGTCAGTCAATTCTTGCTGGATTCCTCAAGCACAGTCTCTGTAGATCAATGTAACAAATCAAAAAATGACACGGCACAACTACCATCAGCCCCTGGAGCTTGTAAACTCCAGTCGCCACAGGCAGGGAGCAGCTGGCAGAGGGAAGAGAAAAATGCTCTGGTGAGTCAATCATTGTTAAATAGCATCAACGGATGTTTCAGCAATCAAATCTGCCAATGAGTAAATACCTATGGGTGAACACCTGGTTTTTGTACTGAAAGGGTCACCTGCCATTGGCACAATTGATGCAAACCGAAGCTTATAAAAGTTTACGCACTCAGTGAACAAGCTTGAGAATCTTCTATATGGATGAATTAGGAATTTATCATCATTGTATTGTCATTGTGAAAGTATCATAATTTCCTTAATATTAATCTTATTTACAACAATACAAAACTTGGCTAAATGCCCATAGATTGTATTGTTACTTAAGGAGAAACATTTCGCATCATTTTATCAGTGTGCCTTCATACTCAGTAAAAAGCAAAATTATTTTCATGCCTTTAAGACATTCTTTGTGTATGAGCTGTGACAGTGTGTTGGCAATCTGCTCAACAATTGAAAAAAGCATAGCCAATCCTCATCCTGTCCTACATACACACCTTCACAAGGGACAGCAATAAGAAGCAAAAATTCAGGCAAATGGAGTCAGAGTTACAAAGTCAGCAGCACAAAGAAAATCTTTGGTCCAACCAGTCCATGCTGAACATAATCCAAAACTAAGCTAGCCCTACCTGCCTGCTGTTGACCCATATCCCTCCAAACCTTTCCTATTCATGTACTTATCCAAGTGTCTTTTAAACATTGTAACTATGCCCACATCCACCACTTCCTCAGGAAGTTCATTCCACTGTGAAGCACCCTCGATGTAAAAAATTTGTCCCTCATGTCTTTTTTAAATCTTTCTCCTCTCACCTTAAAATATGCTCCTCAGTCTTGGAATCCCCTATCATAGTGAAAAGGCACCAACTATTACCCCTGGTCGTACCCCTCATGATTTTATAAACCTCTATAAAAGGTGACCGCTCAACCTCCTATGCTCCGGTTTTAAAAAAGTCCCAGCCTTCTTTATAACTTAAACCTTCCATACGCGGCAACATCCTAGTACCTCACTTCTGAAACATCTTGAGCTTAATAATATGCTTCCTGTAACTGGACAACCAGAACCAAACACAATAGTCTGGAAGACAGCTCACCATTGCCCTGTACAACCTCAACATGTCTTCCCACCTCCTATACTCAAATAACAACAATGAAGGCAAGCATGCTAAGTGCCTTTTTAACCACCCTTTCCTTATGTGACGCAAACTTCAAAGAATTATGTACGTGAACCCCTAGGTCCCTCTGTTCTACAACATTACCCAAGGCCCAGCTATTAATTGTAGAAGTCCTGCCTTTGTTTGTTGTACCAAAATGCAATATCTCGCATTTAATCAGATTGTACTCCAACTGCCATTTTTCAGCACACTGACTCATTTTATCAAGATCCCTTTGTAATTTTAGAAAACCTTCTTCACTGTCTGTTTTCCCTATCCTTGCCCAGAGACACTGACCATTTGCCACCTCACAACTACCCCCAGCTGTTATGTTTCAACTGCTCCTACGGCTAAATCTGTTACTTCAACAGAGAGAGATCAGGGATAAAATTATTCCTTCCTAAATATTTTGTAATCAACCTGTTCAGAGATTTTATTGCATACTGGTGGGACTTGAACCCGGGCCTCCTGGGTTAGAGGTATGGACACTACCACTGCACCACAAACACCCAGTGATTACTTTCTAGCCTGTATCTATGTTATTACTACACCAGATACTGCCGTTTTGGATTGAACCTTTAATGGAGCCTTGCATAGTGTACATTCCTCAAAGATGATGTATAAATTTTACACCAAAAATAAAACAATGCTATGGGTAACTTGATTACTGGGGATGAATTTAAATGAAAGTCCTGTTGTGATCCTCTATATTTGAAAATAATGTGATATATATTGTAACTAGATAGATATTTCAGGTAAAAATATCTCAGTTTTAGCTTAAAGGAAAATTGTTGAGTGCTTTTGCTGGAGATTCAGTATGAAGGAAATTGAGACTTTTCTCTTAATTTTCTACAATAATAATGCACCTTATTTTTTTTTCCAGATATGCTGTCTTCATGGATCATGCAACCTTCTTATGTTACCAAAACAGTCAATGAATCATGCCTCATTTCTAAAATTCAGTCTTGCAAATTAAATAGAATTTTCTATAATAAGAGCTCAGTACTGTTTTGTTGTATCTGTACATGTCTGTCAGTCAATGTGGAACCATAGAGAAACAAACTCAAAGTTTGCACCTGGACAGGATGTTGGTTAGGCCCCTTTTGGAATACTGCACTCAATTCTGGCTACTCTGCCATAGGAAAGATGTTGTATAACTTAAAAGGGTTCTGAAAAGATCTGCAAGGATGTTGCCAGGGTTGGAGAGTTTGAGTTATAGGGAGAAGCTGAATAGGCTGGGGGCAGTTTTCCCTGGAGCATCAGAGACTAAGGGGTGACTTTAAAGAAATTATAAAATCATGAGGGGCATGGATAGGGTGACTAGTCAAAGTCTTTTCCCCAGGGTAGGGGAGTCCAAAACTAGAGGGCGTAAGTTTAAGGTGAGAGAGGAAAGATTTAAAAGGAACCTAATGGACAACATTTTCATGGCAAGAGTGGTGTGTGTGTGGAGTGGAGTGAGCTGCAAGAGGAATTGGTGGAGGCTGGTACAATTACAACATTTAAAATGCACCAGGATGGGTATATCAATAGGAAGGCTTTAGAGGGATATGGGCCAAATGCTGCCAGATAGGACTAGATTAATCCAGGATACTTGGTCGGCTGGGTGAGTTGGACAGAAGGGTCTGTTTCCATGCTGGATATCTCTATGGTTCTATGGCTCTGTAACTGACAAATCTAGTGTTATAGTATTAATTCTGATGGACAAAGAAAATCTGAAACTCCACTACATTGTGAATGTAGTTATTTTCAAATCAATCAGTTCATGGATGTTATGACACACCTCTGGAGCAGGTGGGACTTGCACCCCAGCCTCCTGGCTCAGAGGTAGTGACACAGCCTTTACAGAAGAGCGCTTAATGTTGTGAATATACCTGTTTGAAGGTAACAACAAACACTTGAATGGAGTTGTGAATAGTCTGATACTGATTACTACTAATTTCATTCTGGCCTAGCAGAATCTTGGCCAAGATTATCTGGGAAAAAAAAGAGTCAATTGACTCAATTGAAATTCTCCAGATGCTGACAGCATTTAACAGAGCTAATATAGGAAAGTTGTTCAACAGGGTTAAGAGTGTGAGTGCTAACAGCAAAAGTTTAAAACAAATACATTAGGATCAAATCAGCCTGAACTTCGAAAAGGAAATTGAATTGTGGAATAGTTACCTGTAATTTCATTGAAGTAGACCATTGATATTGATTCAACAGATAATTAAACCTGTTTTTGGAGACAAACTGGATTGAGGGACATGATATAAGGCAGATAAGTGAAACTAAGTTTAATCAAACAGGGACAGGTTTGTTGAAATGTAAGTGATCTTTCGCTGTCCCTAAGAATTCTGACATTTATCTTCAATGGATGAAAGAGGTCAGCAGTGAGCCTTAGTGTTAGTGGGAGTTTTCATGGTTAGGTGGGATCTGTACATAAAACAAAATAACCTCCACTAACCAGAATTAGAAAAAAGTACCAAAAGTAAGTAATTTAATGCAAATAATAAATACCATAAATACCAATGAATCCACCCATTATATTTTAAAAGTGATTTTGCACAGACCAAAAGCAAGGTCAGAACAGTTGCTACTAAGAGAGTCAGAGTCACAAGAGTCATAGAGTCATACAGCATAGAAATAGACCTTTTGGTCCAACTCGTCCATGCCAACCAAGTTTTCAAGACTAAACTAGTGCCACTTGCATGCATTTGGTCCATATCCTCTAAACCTCTACTCTCATGTATCTATCCAAATGTCTTTTAAATGTTCTAACTGTACCTGCATCAGCCACTTCCCCTGGTAGTTCATTCCACATACAAACCACCCTCTGTGTGAGCAAGTTGTCTGTCAGGTCCCTTTTAAATCTTTCTCCTCACCTTAAAAATATGCCCCCTAGTTTTGAACTTCATCACCTTAGGGAAGAAACCTTTGCTATTCAGCTTATCTGTGCCCCTCATGATTTTATAAATCTTCATAATTCACCCCTCAATCTCCTATGCTCCAGTGAAAAAAGTCCCAGCCTACCCACTCTCTCCTTTTAACTCAAACCCTCCAGTCCTGGCAACATCCTGGTAAATCTTTTCTGAACCCTCTTTAACTTAATAATTTCTTTCCTGTAGAGAAAAAAATGACAATAAATACAAAGAAAGATATAACAAAGGGCACGTGAAGAAAATGCAAAAAGATGCTAAAGAGGAAGTGGTTAGAGTGTCTGTACTGTTGCAGTAAAATGTCCATACAATTATTAGTTTCTAAGATGACACTTAGTCTTAATAAGCAATAATGCTCATGTCCATTTTATCTTGCACTAGTAATTTTGAGACCAAAAGGGACTAGGTAAATTGGAATATAACTGGATAATGAAGGATTATGAGAAAGATATTGAAGTTGATTTAACCAAGATTAGATCTTCTTTAAAGTTTAATGAGTCCTCCTTTAAACCTTGTGTCCTTTGCATTGACTGTATATACCCAGCCATAAATCGGGCCCAGATATGATTCATTTGTAATACAAATCCAAGCTTCTGTCAGAGGGTCTTTTAATTGAAATATTTTTTACAGTTAGTTTCCTAGAGTCTGTACAGGTACAATAAATGCTGTTAAATCTTCATTATTTCATGGAATTAGAAATGATTATTTGAGTAACTTCACTGATCTCCTATTTGCAGAATTAATCTAAACATGAAGTAAGCTCTATTGTGTTTTGATTTCCTCCCTTTGATTGCTACAATGCTGAGAATGGGATCTCTGAATTTACTTGATTATTTAGAGTAGTTGGTTTAGGTGAATTATTAACATGTCAACACCACTTCTGCACATACATATAGTGGGGCCTACAGACAACAAAACAAATATCTGTTTGGATTCAACCCATTAACAGTTTTCGTTTCCTCATCTGGAAAATACGGTAGAAAATAATAAATATCTCAAGTTTTCAGACAAAGTAAACCAATGAGTCACATGCAGTATAGGTATCTACATCCATTTTATGCGCAGCTGAGAAGTGCACTTCTACAGCATTAATGTGATCCTTCTATTCTATGCATTTATGTCTGTCTTTGGTGACTTGAGCACATACCCACACTTCAGTGCTGTGCAGTGATGAGGAAATGCTGCACCGTAGGAATTACCACCTTTGAATGAAAAGTAAAAGGAAAGGACAGGACTTCAATTTACCATTGTTTATTTCAGATTCCTCTTACAATCTTGCGGAATTGGCTGGATAGGATAATGTACTTCTAGATATATTGTGCATGATTCATTAGTGCAAAGAGTTGCAGATCAATATGAATCTGTGAAAGATAAATAGCAGCAATTAAGTGGGAAATTATCCATAACCATCAGGATTCCTCTTTTTTTTTGACATATTGACACATACTCAAAAACATTGTACAGCTGCCGAAAAAGAATAGAGTCATGGAGATGGGCAATTGGCCTTCTATCCCAACATGTCCTCACAGCACCTTCCACTGCAACTGCAGAAGGTGTAGCACCTACCTGTTTACTTCCTCCCTCTTCACCACCCCAGGGCCCAAACACACCTTCCAGGTGAAGCAACGCTTTACCTGCACTTCACTCAATCCAGTCTACTGTATTCATTGCTCACAATGTGGTCTCCTCTACACTGGGGAAATGAAGTTCAGACTGGCTTCCCAGGACATCTACATTCTGTCTACAAAAAAGACCCTGAGCTTCCAGTTGCCTGCCACTTCAACACATCGCCATGTTCTCTGGCCAGGATCTCTATCTCAGGCTTGCTGCAGTGCTCCAGCGAAGCTCAGCACAAGCTGGAAGAACAGTACCTCATTATCCACTTGGGAACTCCGCAGTCTTCTGGACTTAATATTAAGTTCAACAATTTTAGGGCTTGAGCCACCTTCTCCCAATGTCCTTACCCCAACCCCTATACACCAGGCTTTGTCATCACATGGGCTGCTACCACAAACAATCCATTGCCAGCTACTAATAGTCCCCATTAGCAGCTTATTTGTTCCTCCAGACTAACCTTTACCTACTCTTTTGTCTGTCCAGCGGTGTTTCTGTCTCTTTGGGCTCCATCTCTACCTATTGTTCACTCTCCCTCAACCCTATCTTCTGCATAAATATCAACCTTTTCCTAGCTATCATCAGTTCTGAAGAAGAGTCATACTGGACTCAAAATGTTAATTGTGCTCTCTCTCCACAGATGCTGCCAAACCTGCTCAGTTTTCCCAGCAATTTCTGTTTTTGTTTCTGATCTCCAGCATCCACGGTTCTTTTGGTTTTTCTGTTTAATTGGCTTTCTGTGCTGTTTTTAAACTGGTTGTTCAAATTAAGTATGCATCTTCAATGTGGAAAAAATGTGTGGATGATTGATGAAGCTATTTCAATTTATATGAACAAATTGGGACCTTTGTTTTCAAAAGAGATATGTCGAGGTCAAACATGTGTTTTATGATGCTGGAACAGATATGAAGGGCCAAATGTATACATTTGTGATACAATGAAATTGCAGATGGAAATTTGTTAAGAAATAGGAACAGTAATCAATATCTGAAAAGATCTCCAACTCTGAGTTAGAATCAAAGAGTACAAACAGTTTAACTGATCTGGATAATTACCCAGAAAACATTGGACAGAAAAATCCTAACCACTAGTAACCATATAAGTGATGATCCATTCTGACACCCTCACACCCCGATTACCTGCTTGAACCCATGACTACCCCAACCCAATCAGGCTTGCCCCCTACCTGACTAACATCAAAACACCTCACCCACCTGCCAACCTACTTCTTTACCCATTCTTAAACATTTCTTTCTCTCCATGGACTTTCAATCAAGCTTTGGTCTAGTGGTATTATCGCTGGACAATTAATCCAGAGACCCAGATAATGTTCTGGGGACCCAGGTTCGAATCCCACCACAGCAGATGGTGGAACTTGAATTCAACAAAATATCTAATGATAACCGTGAACCCATTGTCAATTGTCAGAAAAACCCATCTGGTTCACTAATGCCCCTTAGGGAAGGAAACTGCCATCCTTACCTGGTCTGGCCTACATGTGACCCCAGACCCACAGCAATGTGGTTCACTCTTAACTGCCCTCTGGGCAATTAGGGATGGGCAATAAATGCTGCCCTAGCCAGCGACGGCCTCATCTTGAGAATGAATAAAGAAAAAAAAAATTGCCTGAATGTGGTAGCTAACCCCCAGCAAAAAGTTGATTTGACTTCTGAACAGCTTATTTGTGCTCGACTGAGCGGTTTCTGAAGGATCCTCCAATGGAAGATTGCTCAGAAAAATTGGGGAAAAGTGATTTTTTTTTCTATGATTAAGGTTGGAAAATGAGTTTCTGGGATTGACCAAAATATACTTAGGCCAATATATATCCCTCTAACAGGATTAGACAGGGTACATACCAGAAAGATATTCCTGATGACTGAGCAGTCCAGGACCAGGGGTCACAGCCTAAAAAAAATCATAGAATCCCTATAGTGCAGATAGAAGCCATTTGGCCCAACACGTCTGCACTGATCCTCTGAAGACACATGTACTCCTGCATTTCCCATGGCTGATCCACCTGGCCTACATATCCCTGGACAATACGGGGTAATTTAACATGGCTAATCCACCTAACCTGCATATCTTTGGTCTGTGGGTAGAAACCCATGCAGACAGAGGGAGAATGTGCAAACTCCATACGGTAACCCAAGGCTGAAATGGAACTTGGGTCCCTGGCACTGTAAGGCAGCAATGCAAACCACTGAGTCATCATGTCCCCCTATGGAGTAGTGCAGCAGGGAAGTAAAAATACGGAGGAGGCCATTTAGAACTGAGATGAGGAGAAATGTCTTCACCCAGAGAGTGGTGAGCCTGCGGAATTCTCTGCCACAAAAAGTGGTTGAGGCCAAAACATCGAATGTTTTCCAAAAGGAGATAGATATATTTCTTCAGGCTAAGGGATCAAAGGGTGTGAGGCAAAAGTGCAATAGGGTAGAGGTGGATGATCAGCCATAATCATATTGAATAGAAGAGCAGGTTTGAAGGGCTGACTGGCCTACTCCTGCTCCTATTTTCTATGTTTCTATATCATTACACATTTATAGAAGGAAATAGGAGAAGCATGAAACCCCAGGAAAGGGTATGACAGAACAGAGTCCCACCCCATTTCCATCACCACTTAGCCTGGAAGAAAATTCATGGAAGAAGGTCAGGAAATTGCAGCAATGCCTTTTATTATGAAATGGAGAAAATCTATTTGGACTTAGAACAGAAATAACAATATGTAGCAGGAGTCAATCTTCCTAAATTTGGAAACTGGAATTAACTTGAAATTTTATAAAAGCCGAAGTTTTTGTAAAATACACTATTAGAGTTTTTTTCTATAAAAATAAGATTACATTGCAATGTATAGCTTTTTTATATTCTTTTCGAATGTTTCTTTTTTAGTCACATACTGTATTTATTTACTTAAAATGGATATTTTCATTAACAGGAAACTTGTTTTCGGTATCAGTGCTGTAGAACTATAATTTAGGTGGGTCATGCAAACATCCAAAATTTTAAACACCTATAAAACTGCTCATTTCAATTTGAGCTTGAATTGATATTTAGAGGCCACATTCTATCATGACTATGACAAACTATGGATAGGATTTCAACTTTTGGGACAAGGTCCCAAATATTAAGGGTCATATGGAAGTCCTGACCATACACAATGCCAAGGATATTCACCTGAATTAATGGCCTCAGGGCAAATCTGTTTCTGATTAAGGATAGCACTGATTCTTGAAGCTGGACAGGTAACATGTGGTGCAGTAGTACTATCCCTACCTCTAATTTAGGAAACCTGGGTTCAAGTATCACCCTGATCCAGAGAGGTGTCATAATATCTCTGATAAAATGGTGTAGAGCTGGATGAACACAGCCGGCCAAGCAGCATCAGAGGAGCAGGAAGGCTGACGTTTCAGGCCTAGACCCTTCTTCAGAAGAAGGCCCTAGGCCCGAAACGTCAGCCTTCCTGCTCCTCTGATGCTGCTTGGCCTGCTGTGTTCATCCAGCTCTACACCTTGTTATCTCAGATTATCCAGCATCTGCAGTTCCTACTATCTCATAATATCTCTGAACAGGTTGATTTGAAAATTATAATTCTTGAAGCTGGAGGGCTGATGGAATGTCCTCAATATGGAAAGAGCTACAGCCTGCCATTCATTTTGAGGTGCTTTCTCAGTAACCTATCAAATTACCCCCAGCTGCCTGACCACTATTCCTGAAGTGATCCCCTACCCATCACCAGCCTATGGACAAAGAGGTGGCCACATAGGTGGGGTTGGAGGGGGGGGTGCATGGATGAAAGCTGAAATGAAATTGGGAGAGTTAGGCCTCTAGCCTATCACTGGGAGGCTACTTTGAGCAGTTGACCTGTTTCTTACACCATAGCAGGATCAACAGACTGACTGGAAAATTCCAGTTGGCCTCTGATAATTGTACATAATTGGCCTGCTACTTCCCTTAATTGGTTACCCGTGCTTGCAGATAGGTAGATCCCCTGCTTCAATCTCACTCTAGGGAAATGATCCAGGAATAGGAAGGTGTTGGCAAATTGACATTGTGACCAGGAGCATGAATTCACCCATATTCGCCTCATCTGCCTCCACTATTGCCCCCATATTGGGGTTGAAAATACAGCCTCGGGCTTTGCATCAATGAATTGCAGAGTTCTTTGTACAGGCCACAGTATTGCCAAAGCCTCTCTGAGATGTTAATAGTATTATAGGTAGATTTCTATTTCTAATTGAAATATAAAAATAATTACACATAATGGTATAAACAGAATGCCCAATGGAGAAACATGGAATACTGAATTTATTCCACTTGTGGGAAAGGGCTTAATAACTCATCTGTAAATTTTACGCTTGGGAATGATCAAACCTAACACACTAGTGCAATAAGTTCTGTATTGTACAGTTCCCAATTGAGTAACCTGTACTTATAGTACAGCTGCACATTTACATCTGTTTTGAATTTGCAGCTATTTTCGGTAAATATTTCAGGAAAAAAAAAAGGTGAGGTGGGTAATAGATTTAGTGTAAACTGTTACATTGAGCTTGATTTCTTTAAAAAAAATGATTGCGTACATGGTATTTGCTCCCAAAGGGCTACCTTTCAGGATATGAAAGAATGCACTTGAAATGGAACTGTTGTGAATCCTCATTGACAGGGTCTGTATATGACATCAGTTGGATAGCTGCCTAGAGAATTTTGGAGAACTAGGTCTTAATCTAAGAAAAATATGTTGTAAATATCTCATGTCAGGTAGGAAACTTTTTTTTCCAACTTAGCTAGTTGATAGTAATTGCATGAGAAGTACTTTCCGATACTTACCACATACTTTGAGTTTAAATGGTATGCTTGCCATGATCCCAGTTCAGAACTGAGAAAAAAACATCTGAGTGTTTTAGCACTATGTTTTACAGCACTATCATAACACAATATAGGAGTTATGAATAGCAAATTCAAACCTCTTGCATTTTCTGTGCAAAAGAAAGTTGTTAGATTATCTGCACCATGAATAAATTTCCCAATAAATAAATACATTCATCCTCTCTCCTCTTTGCAAGTACCTCTACGCAACTCAAACAACTTCAGTCCTGATTTTGAAGAAATGTCTATGGAGTCACAATTGCTGCTAATGCAACAGTAAAGACTGATGCATAGGTTATTTTGTAATAAGGCCTACAGTCATGTCTTAAGCATCAGAAAGAAAAGCTTGCATTTACAGAGTAACTTCCATTACCTCAGGATGCCCCAAAGTTCTTTGTAGCCAATGAAGTACTTCAGAAATGTTGTCAATTAGCATGCAGCAAGGTCCCACAAGGTTCAGCAATATGATAATTACCAGATAATATTGGCCGGAGAACGAGGGATAACTTGTCATCTCTTTTTCAAAGTATTGCTATGGCATATTTTGCACCCACCTGACACCTGAGTAGACAAGGCCTCAGTTTAATATCTCATCCAAAAAGATGGGACCTCCAACTCTGCAGCATTCTGAGTATTGCACTAGAATATCAGCCTCGATTATTTTGCTGAATACTGTGGACATGAGCACACAACCTTTTAGACTTACAGCCAAAAATGTTACTAACGGAAACATAGATCAAATAAAAAAGGGAACTCATATTCTGTGCACTTAAAGAGAGCTTTAGGATTGATGTCCACACAAAGGAAATGATAGTCATCTAATGCCAATATTGATAAACAGGCTCATGATGAAATCAACAGCAATGTTTATATTCAATGGAAGAGAAAATCTCATTTGATGTCAGCACAGTGTAGAGTTGGAGGAGCACAGCAGGTCAGGCAGCATCAGAGGAACAGGAAAGTCAATGTTTCGGGTTAGGACCCTTCATCAGGAGTGGACAAGCTGTCCTAATAAAGGGTCCCAACCTGAAACATCGACTTTCCTGTTCCTCTGATGCTGCCTGACCTGCTGCTTTCCTCCAACTCCACACTGTATTGACTCAGACTTCCAGCATCTACAGTTCTTGCTGTCTCCTCGTATGGTATAAAACAGGCTGCAGATTCATTACCATGTACTTCTGGGCAGAGTAATGGAGGCAAAATCCTGGAATTCTTTAAGGAAGAAGTGTGGACAATGTAGCATCTTTTGGGAGAAAGAACGAAAATGAGTTGAAGTGCATAGCTCATCAGTATTTACTTTATCTTGTGAAATGAGTACAGAATTTGAAGGAAATACTGCCTCAATTCTGTCCACTTTAGGGAAAGAAAAGCTTCTCCAGATGATACTGTAGCAGCAACAGCCCATCTTGTGGAAAAAAGCAAAATCCTGTGGACGCTAGAGATCTGCGACAAGCGCAGAAAATGCTGGAGCAACTCAACAAATCTGTCTCTTCACAGATGCTGCCAGTCCTGCTGAATTTCTGCAGCATCTTTTGTGTTTGTTTCAGGTTGAGGAATGCTTTAAAATTACACTGAACAAATATTAATGCTTTTAAGCAGAACCATTAACCAATTCTTTTAAACTGATCAATGTAACTGTAACTTTTTCCCATCAACAGCAACATTTTTGTACTAATGTTTACATAGTATAATTAATGCTCTGGAAATGTACTGTTTTTATATATGCGTGTTGAGAGTTTTCACCCAAATATTACACCACTGCTTTAATTCACTGCTGAGAGATGTTTTTGTTTGTGGTAGGTCAAATATTTACATAATATAATCCAGGATTGGAAGTATATTTTGTTCTCTACAATAAAGCTCATCATCTTGGGTCAGTTATTAAGACCTCTCCACAGATGTTTCTTGTAGTTATTGAATAAATTGTGATCATAAGAAAAACAATGGAACAAATTTAACAAATCTTAAGTGTTGATTTTCTAATGAGAAATTGGGAAAATATGTAATGTTACATCAATTAAATTTCTCATTAATCATCAATTTCATTAATGAAGAAAAGATTGTCTCCCTCCATTTGGAATGCAAACATTCTTACATTCCATTAATATTTGGTTCTTTGTCCAATTTAGTAACAGTACTAGACCTAAGTTTCATGACTATGATTGACGAAATGACAGGTTGAAACATCAGCAAAGTTAAGCAATATGGAAACAATTTGATCATAGCAATCAAATTACAGGGAAAGGCAATTTTCAGCCAGCAGGGTTACTTGATGATTGAAGCACACAAGCTGAGGTGTCTTTTAATGAACAGCTTATTTTTGGTGGTGGAGAGGGCAAGTTTCTCATGTTCCCAAATTTCTCCTTTTGCCTGAATGCGTACAGACAGTTTTTTTTGATTAGTAATGCCTGATCCTTGCAAATTAAATGGGTGTCAGTGATCAGAAAATTGGATGGAGATCTGTAATCCTATACTGATGTTGAATTAAGTGATGGGAAGTCTAGAACCACGATTTTAAAACAGGCAGTGTCACACAAAGGTTCTGCTTTAGGGGCTCAGGTGGGGACTCCAATGTTCAGTGTATTGTCAGGCCTGCCATTAGGGATCACGGATGATTCAGTCTCCAGTGGAAGATGAGTATCATGTGGGAAAACGTGAGGTTATTCACGAAGATAGAAAGAATGGAAGAGCAGAAAATTATTCAAATAGGAAGAGACTACAAAGTCCTGAACTACAGCGGGCTCTTGCTGTGCTTGTACATGGATAGCAAAAATGTTTGTAGGCAGGTACAGTGAGTAATTAGGAAGGCAAATGGAATGTTAGCCTTTTTTCAAGGGGGATGGAGTATAAACACGAAGAAGTCTCACTATAACTGCACAAGTGAAACCCACACCTGGAGTACTGCACACAGATTTGTTCTCCTTACTTAAGGGAAAGATATGCTAGCTTTGAAGGCCATTTAGAGCAAGGTCACTACATTGATTTTTGGGGTGGATGAGTTGTCTTATAAGGAAAGTTTAAGCAGATTGGGCCTGTAGGAGGTTTGAAGAATGAGAAACGATCTTATGGAGACAAGTTTCTCAGGGAAAGAAAGGGGAAATGCTGGAAGGACGTGTCCCATTGTGGGGGTATCTAGAGTTAGAAGGTATTTTTTCAGACAAAGGGACTCCTATTTAACCTGGAGATGAGGAGGAATGCCTTCTGTCAGTTTTTTTAATATTTGACTTCCCAGAAAGTGGTAGTAGCTGATTCATTAAACTATATTCATGCTGAATTAGGCAAATGTTTTATCATCAAGGAGGTCCAAGGTCACAGGAACCGGACACAAAAGTTGAGGCCCTGATCAGTTTAATTGTGATATTATTGATGGCTTGAGGGGCTAAATGGCCTATTCCTCCCATTTCTTCTGTTCTAATCTCCCTCAGGCGAATACTGAGGAGCTGCTGACAAGACAGAATGCTAAATGTGGAAGTATAGCACTGTGCAGGGACCTCCAGCATGAACACGCTCTCAAATCAGCAGCAACTCCATTGGCTTGGTAATCTCAGTCAAATGAGTGATGGCCACAACTCCAAAGACATGCTGTATGGTGAGCTGGCTGCCAGTATGAGATTAACAAAGTCTGCAATACAAGGCTGTCTGTAAGCGAAAATCTCAAATTTGACAGTGAAGAATGTTACCTTTAGAGTACAACAGGATCTTGATCAGATGGGCCAATGGGCTGAGGAGTGGCAGATTGAGTTTAATTTAGATAAATGTGAGGTGCTGCATTTTGGAAAGGCAAATCAGGGCAGGACTGATACACTTAATGGTAAGTCCTGGGCAGTGTTGCTGAACAAAGATACCTCAGAGTGCAGGTTCATAGTTCCTTGAATGTGGAGTCACAGGTAGATAGGATAGTGAAGAAGGTGTTGGTATGCTTGCCTTTATTGGTCAGTGCATTGAGTGTAGGAGTCGGGGGAGGTCACATTGTGGCTGTACAGGACATTGGTTAGGCCACTATTGGAATACTGCATTCAGTTCTGGTCTCCCTGCTATAGGAAGGATGTTGTAAAACTTGAAAGGGTTCAGAAAAGATTTATGAGAATGTTGCCAGGGTTGGAGAGTTTGAGCTATAGGGAGAGGCTGAATAGACTGCGGCTATTTTCCCTGGAGTGTTGGAGGCTCAGGCTTGACCTTATGGAGGTTTATAAAATCATGAGGGGCGTGGATAGGGTAAATAGCCAAGGTCTTTTCCCTGAAGTGGGGGAGTCCAAAACTAGAGGGCGTCTTAGCCAGGCATTGGAGAGGAGTCATCAACCATGTACACAGGGGGCATTCCTCATCAGTATCTGATTCTTCTTGGTGGCTCATGAATGGTGAGAACGATTGCCCCAACATTGAGGTAGAATAGCAGGTATTCAATTATAGTATTGACTTGTGCATGGCCAAACACAGCTGAGCCTTAATGGTACGGTAACCCTTGCAATTCCTGTACCTCAGCATTTGTGGCCCACATAACAGGATGTATGTAGTTGATGGCTCCCTTCTCCTTTGGGAATCCTGATTGAGGCTACCGGCCTTGTTAAAGGAAGTTGAAAATGTTCAGTTGGATCAGACTGCCCCAGGCATTGTTTTGGGATCCTGTAGCTACTGGTCCCCAAACATCTTGTAGCCCAGATGTGGGAAGGTGACCAATTTCAATGTCGTCTATGTTTGAGCTCACAACAACAGCTCCAAAGATACTCCTGTTCTTACCTTACAGCCAGGGCTCCCTGATTGCACCAGATTAACAGTCCCAATCAGGAAACTCGTATTCTATGAGGTCCACCTGGTTGACCTTGTTATAGGTTACTATAAACATAAATGCACAAAACCTGCTTCAAGTCTGGAATAAAAACATAAAACTTCACACATTGTTATCTTAAGAATTCTTTGGCCAAATAATAAATTCAGGAAAAATAATAATTCAGGTTGCCCCAAATGATTGTCCACAGTTGAATTCACTGTCCATAAAAGCTGTTAGCATTGTGGTTTCTTCCTGAATCAGTTATAGATGGTTAAAATCTATTTTCCTGGAGACAGTGGTATAAATTCAGATTTTCCTTCAAGAACCCTCCATTTGTGGCATTAAGGCCTTCCACTGGGTTTCAAACTCAAACTTTGAGAGGGGCTTCAGAGAAAGAGAGAGATGAAGATGGAGATAGCAAAGGCTATTGACCTTGTCTCTGAGTTGTAAGTCTCTGCAAGTTGTCTCTGTTTGCGTTCAACACCATTTTTGTATACCGCAAACTGGGTGGCATGACCTCTCTCTGAAAGTGTTGCAAACTCAGTGTCTCCATTCAAGCAGCTTATGTTCTGTGCAAATGAACATATTTACTGTTGTAACCCGTGCCTTTTGGTTTGAAAAATGTTCTTTTCAAAAAGCTCAAGATGTATTTGTGTGTTACAATTCTATTATAATTTACTATTCAGATAACATATCTTCATAACACAAACCATGGGCCAAAATAGCCAGAATGCCTGATTAACATCACAATCTAAGCACTCCTGATGCTCTAGTGCATGTACGCACGTGTACACACACACACACACACACATCTCCCACAGGACATCCAAAATGTTTGAACCACTGGTGCTAAGGAGCCTAATTGCAATTCCTTCTTTCTTATTTGTGTGTGCTATGAAAATTTAGAATGAAAGCCAGCAACATCATGAGAA